CCCAACCCTCCTCTCCCCCAACTACCACCACATCATCCCCCCCCCTCCCACTTCATCTTTTTCTCTCCCCCACCTATTTCTTTCTCTTCTCCTTCACTTTTTCATTCCCATTCCCCCCCTACTTTGAAAAATTTTCATTTTTTCTTCTTTCTATCTCTCTTTTGATTATCTTTTCTCCCTTTTTCCAAAAATTTGAATCATCTTTTTCCCCACCCTCTTTTATGATTTTCTGATTTATTTCATTAATTTTTTTATTTATTCTGAAAATTGGACTTTCTTGGCGGCAACCCTAAATCTGATTAGGTGTTAGCCTTTCTTGCTTTCGGCACACGTTCTGACCCCGTGGGGGTAACGAAGTGTTGCCGAAATTTTCTGTTTTTCTCTTACTTAGTCTTTTCGGCACACTTCGACCCCATGGGGGTAACGAAATGCTGCCAATTTTTTTGACAAATTAGATACTTCATTCCTCCCCACCTCCTCATCCACTTATTTACTTATTTATTTATTTATTATTTATTTATTTATTTATTTTTTGATTTTTTTTTTTTACTTGCGGCATCTCGACACCTAGTGTGCTTACCTTGGTCTCTCCGTTCCCCTTGGCACATTCTTGACCTCGTGGGGGGTAGGGAAATGCTGCTGAAAATTTCAAAAAAATAAATATTGTTTTTCCTTCACATCTTTTTACTTATTTCTTTAACTATTTTTATTATTTATTTATTTATTTATTTATTTTTATTTTCTCTCAAAATCTCGCTGTTTATTTATTTTTCTCCCGCCTTCCTCCCCCTATGCTTGCTATTTTACTCTCTTGATTAGGTCACCGGTACCCTAACCTAACCACTTAAACCTCGGTTAGGGTTTTCTTAGGGGTTTTGTAGGGCTTAGGGTTCTTCAACCCCCCCCTACTTCCTTGTCCTCTTCGGGCACCCTGGACCCGAACCACCCCTCCCCCTTTGACGGTGCCCGCGCTAGCCTTGCTAGCGCCATTCGCCGCTTTCTATCCCCCTACGCCCTCCGCTCACGCGGACCTCTTCTGGCCCCCTCCAATCCGGTCCGTCATCTCCCCATGGCCGACGGTGTGTCACACGCCGCCGACACGGCGATGACCACGGCATCGGGCTCCACACCCGTGCCGGCGGACCAGGGGGATCTGCACACCCTCCTCACCTCCCTCCTTGCGCCCATCCAGGCGCAACTCGAGACCCTCGCACCCTTACAGGCGAAGGTAGCCACCCTTGCCGCCGGCGTGCGGCAACTTCAGGACGCTGGTCGTCCTTCCTCTCCTCACCCTATCTCTTCTCCTGGCTCCCAGTCCGGGTCCCCCGTCCTCCCACAGGGTGGCCACGGTGGAGCTTCCTCCTCCGCTGCCTCCGACCCGTCCATCTTGGTGACCGTCCACGCCCCTAGCACGACGACCGCCACGAGTCAGGTCCTCCCTCAGTCTACGGGTGCACCCGCCCAGACCCCGGTCACTACGGCCACGGTACCACAACCCGCTACCATGGTCGCAGTTTTTCCGGATGCCCCACTTCTCCCTCCTCTTCGTACGACCGCAGCGCCACCTGGCTCTACCCCTTGTGGGATGCCTCGCGCCGCTCGTGTGTCTCCCCCTGCCACACCTCGCTCGACCTACGTTCGAGGTCTCAAGGACGGATCACCCAACTCCGGACCGACCTCGCCCTCTCACGCCTTCAGCCACCCCCCACCCTCACAGGTGGCCGTGCCTTCCGGCGCACCCCCTTCTTCTTCTATTCTTCCTTCCATGCAGGCTCGCTTCCCTCGCCCTGCACCGTACCCATCCCGATCCTACCTCCTTCCCATCCCCTCGGTTGCTGTAACCTCTTCTACCGCAGCTCCCGCACAGCCTGCCGCTGTTTCCCCCGCCGCTCCACCATGCGGCCCGGGCGTACAGTCAGCTGCGCCTCCTCCTCCAGGACCTGCGCCGACTTATTCCGCCGTAGCCAGTCCCCTGCTTCCCGTTCCCCTCGCCGCCAAAACGGTGGCGCACCACTCATCCGCTTGTCGGACATTGCCTTGTATGACGGTACAGCCATACGCGTGTCTAGGTGGGTGCAGTCTGCCACCCGCACGCTCCAGCTCATGGGCGCCACACCCGACACGTGGGTGGGTCACCTCTCCACGCGCCTACGTGGMGGTCCTTTCGAGGCCTGGGAGGATTTCTACGCGTACTCCCTTCGTGAGGGTCGGACCCCGACCTTCATGGATTTCCAGGCATTCCTCGAGGATCGCTTCGGATCCCGATACGACGTGACTGACACCTTCGAGTGTGTCGTCACTACACGCTGGTCCGGCTCTGGTGGCGCTGCCGCTCTTGATCACCACATCCAGGTCTTTCAGGACGCCCGCCTCACTTGTGACGTGGCGTTCCTCCCCGAGGCTGCCCTTATCGATCGTTTCTTGGCCAACCTTCCGCTCGAGTACCGCTCTGAGCTATGGCGGTACGAGTTCACATCGGCCCCGCACGCTTACGAGGCCGCCGGGGACCACCAGCGGATGCGAGCCCGTCTTCACCCCGCCTCCTCCTCCCAGCCTCAGCACACGGGCTACGCCTCCTCCTCCTCTCACGACACTTCCCAACACCGTTCCCCCTTTCACGGTCGCCCCCGCCGTTCCGCGCAGCAGGGACGCCACTTCTCGCACCGCTTCAGCGCGCTCGAGTATGGTGAGCAGGACGCTGGTGCCCCGCTGTCGCCAGAGGGTGACCATAGCGACGACCTCGACGTCGGCGAGGCCGTCCACCACCACCTGGAGGACCCTACTCTCCCTATGGTTGAGCGCCTCCAGCTCATCCTCTCCACCCTTTCCCCGGCACGCAGCCGCCCTGGTTACGCTGGCGCGTCGCCCCCCGAGGTCCCTCAGCAGGACCTGCCCCAGGGCTTTGTCCCTCCTCGCGGTGTCCTTTCCGTTGAGGAGCGCGCGGCTATTTTGGGTCGGTGTGGATGTTTGCGCTGCCGCTTGGACGGTCATACCTCCTCGCGGTGCCCTTACATTACCGCCCTCGACCGCCACTACGCTGACCTTTCCGACCAGCGTCGTGCTTCGTCCCCCCCCGACGCCTCGCATCCCCGTGGTGCCTCCTAGCCACGGTGCAGTGTACACCTGCCCCCTCCTCAGTAGTCCGCTTCCGGACATCTCCGTCGCGGTTCGCCCTTCTCGCTACTTGAGTTGAGGTGTCGCAGGACTCGACAGAGTGTACTCAACCCTATGTCGCAGTACCGTCTGCGCCCCCGCAGACCACCGTCTCCTCTCCTTCCCCGCTGCGACTACCGACGCGTCGAGCCATTCGCTCAACCCGTTGCAGCGAGCAACTCGCTACTCGCGAGGATGTTGTGTCCTCTCTTCTGGACTTGAGCATGCTCCAGGCTCGCCAGGAGCGACTCACCCTCCATGTCGCTACACTGCGTCGCCTTCTCGCCATCCTCTCTGACCCTGATCGCACCCTCCTGATCATCCCAGTATGACTCGGGACCTCCACGAGGTTGTACTCAGCGCTGTGGGATTCTGGTTCTCAGGGCGACTTCATTCACCCACGTGTGGTGAAAGAAGCCCGCTTACCCACGACAGGGTCTCCGACTCCCATCTTCGTTACCCTAGGGGATGACAAGACCCAGCACTTCTTCGAGCAGATGGTCACCGACCTCCCTTTCTTCCTCACTCTCGAGCCGGCTGATCGTTCCCCGACGTCTCATCGCCACCGCTCCTCGGTACATTTCGATGTGATGGAGACCGGGTACGACTTCATTCTCGACACTCCGTGGTCTCGTCGGTTCCGCAACACCGAGGCCGATTGGGCGACCAACACTCTCGTTCTCAAAACGAAGTGTGGATAGACGTATCGCGTACCTTTCATAGGTACCACCGCGACACCACGCCCCGATCCTCCTCCCCCGGAGCCTTCCGTGCCCACACTATCTCCATCTATCACTGTCACCTCGCCTCGGCAGTTCGCTCACTTCATCCGACAGGACGACGTCACCTTCTTTATGGTGAACGTGACGGATCTCTTACACTATGATCCACCCTGTCCCGACGCCGAGCTCATCCCTCTGGAGCCAGACCCTCCTTCCATCTCCATGGCTCCCATCTCTACTTCCGTCCCTCCGCCGTCCGTCGAGTCCACCCCGCCGTCGCGCGCTGACGCTGACGCTGAGGAACTCGCATGATATACGGCCAACTTGGAGCCCGCAGTTCGTGACCTCATTCGAGAGTACCACGACGTTTTCCCATCGTCGTTCTCGTATGCTGGCATCCCACCGATGCGAGACGTCGAGCACTCCATTCAGCTTGTGCCTGACTATCGTGTTCACCACCAGGCACCCTACAGACTCTCGATTCGCGAGGCCACCGAACTCAAGCGTCAGCTTGAGGAGCTCCTGAGACTGGGTTTCATTAAACCCAGCAAATCCTCGTGGGGTGCACCCGTCCTTTTTGCTCGCAAAGCAGATGGAATTCTCCATCTCTGCATCGACTATCGCCTCAACCGCTACACGGTTAAGAACAACTACCCCATGCCTCGTTCCGACGAGTTGTTCGACCGCCTAGCAGGCAACCGCCTCTTCGCGAAGATTGATCTTCGTAGCGGTTACCATCAGATCCGCGTCGCTGCAGCCGACCAGCGGAAGACCGCGTTCCGATCGCGCTTCGGCCACTACGAGTTCACGGTGATGCCATTCGGCCTCACCAACGCTCTCGCTACCTTTCAGAGGGCGATGAACGACATCTTCAGGGACATCCTGGAGCAGTACGTTCTTGTCTACCTCAACGATATCCTGGTCTACAGTCGTACCCTTGAGGAGCACCTCAGACACCTCCGCGACGTCCTTGACCGCTTGCGCAGACATGGCTTCTATGCCAAGCTGAGCAAGTGCCGCTTTGCCCAGCACAAAGTGGATTTCTTAGGACACTACGTGTTTTACCAGGGTCTCCACATGGACGACGCGAAAATCACTGCTATTGCAGAGTGGCCCGCTCCCACATCCGCCAAGCAGCTTCGCAGCTTTCTAGGCCTGACCAGCTACTATAGTAATTTTATCCGGGGATATGCTAGGTATTCCTACGTCCTTACCTCCACCCTCCTCCGGAAGAACCCACCCTGGGCTTGGACACCCCTCCACGAGGACGCCTTCCGCGCCCTCAAGAAGGCGGTGACATGCGCACCGATTCTTCACCTACCCGATTTTGATCGCCCTTTTATCCTTACCACTGATGCGTCAGACTTTGCTGTAGGAGCAGTGCGTTCTCAGGTTTTCCCCTCCTTTCCTGATTCCTCTCATCCTCGTATCCCTCGCTTCCCACCACCTACCCCTACCACTGCTTCCCGACTGACGCCTACTCGTCCAGCTATTGACGAGCCTTCTATTGACTATTCTCCTACCATCGCCGAGCACGGCACTGTCGAGTCTCGCTCAGGTGATTGTCTGATAGCCTTCTACTCTCGTCAGCTCCTGCCCGCCGAGATAAACTACACTGCTGATGAACGTGAGGTTCTCGCAGTAGTTTATGCCGCTCGGCACTGGCGTCACTACCTGCACGGGGCACCGTTCATGGTGCGCACGGACAACTCTGTTGTCCAAGCTTTTCTGATAAAGCCGAAGCTCACTTCTCGACAGGCTCGCTGGTGGCGCGACCTATCTGAGTTTAGTTTCACCACTGAGCACATCAAGGGTGAGACTAATCGGGTCGCAGATGCCTTATCCCGACGCCCTGACCACGACCAAGAGCAGATCCAGCTCTCTTCCATCTCGGTCACCACCGTCCACCACTCGGTGATTGACGAGTTTCGCACTCAGTACCGCCATTGCCCCGACTATCGCGACATCCACGCGACCCTTTGGAGTGGCAAGACTGTCCCGAACTACTCTCTCGGGGACAATGGTCTCGTGTACTGCCACGGTTCACAGGGCATCAGAGAGCCCCGTATTTGCGTTCCCTCCACTGGACATCTACGTGTCCGAGCAGTAGCAGAGTTCCAGGACCAGGCAGCCGCCGGTCATATGGGTTTCTACAAGACATTGGCTCGTGTGAGCTGCCTGTACGTCTGGCCGAAGTGCAAGGACTTTGTGAAGGACTACGTCGCAGAGTGTCCCACCTGTCAGGAGGTGAACAATGCGAATCACTTGCCTTATGGTTTGCTCCAGCCTCTTCCTATCCCTGAGGGTCGTTGGCAATCCATCTTGATGGACTTTATCGGTCCTCTTTGACCTCCGACCCCCCGCGGTCATGATGCTATCCTGGTCGTCGTCGACCGCTTCACGAAGCGTGCATGCTTTGTTCCGTGCCGCTATGCCATTAGTGCACGTGAGGTCGCCGAGATCGTGTTTGACCGAGTCGTGCGTGACCACGGCTTACCTCTGAGCATCATATCTGACCGTGACCCGCGCTTTACCAGCCGATTCTGGCGACGGCTCCACGAGAGATATGACACTTAGCTCCGCTTCTCCTCGTCTTACCATCCACAGACTGATGGTCAGACCGAGATCACGAACAGGACTCTCGGAGATATCCTCCGAAAGATTGTTCGTGACGACCAGCAATGGGATCTCCATCTTGCCCATGCGGAGATAGCCTACAACCACGCCGTCTCGCCAACCACGGGGATGTCGCCTTACTATTGCGACCTCGACTATCACCCTCGTGTTCCAGCGGACTTCCTTCGACCGTCACAGATGCACACCGACACGAGTTGTCCCGCACTGGATGATTGGGTTGCACATATGACGTCGATCATGAAGACCGCACATGAGCACATAGCCGCTTCCCAGATTCGTATGGCAGCACGTGCGAACCGATCGAGGATGGATCATCCATTCGAAGTCGGTGATGATGTGCTTATCTACGCCCACCACTTACAGCTCGAAGCGGACACGCTTCGCAAGTTTCGGTGTCGCTTCTTTGGCCCATGCCGCATCCTCCAGGTTGTCGGTTCTGATATGGCTTCTAGCCCGGTCAGCTTTCGTGTGAAGCTGCCCGACGACCTACGCCACGCTCGTGTGCACGATGTCTACCACGTCTCGTTACTGCGTCCTTGCCGCAGACCGTCTGAGCGTTTTGCTGGACGACCATACGAGCGCCCTCCACCCATCATGGTGGACGGTCACGAGGAGTTTCTCGTTTCAGACATCATTGGTCGCCGAGTCACCGACGACAACCCTCCCMACGTCGAGTATCTCGTACGTTGGAAGGGTTACCCTGATGAGGAGGCTACCTGGGAGCCCCTCGAGCACTTGCAGCACGCTCGCATGTTGGTGCGTGCCTATGACCGTGCTCGTCATGCTGGGTTCACTGCTCCTCCTCAGCCCATTGACCCTCCTCCTTCTTCCCCGGCTGAGGAAACCGCCGAAGTCGAGCCTGCTCCATCTGAGGCAAACCTTCAGCAGCAGCCGGATGCTTCTGAGCGTCCACAGCGCACTCGTCGTCGTCCTGCTCGATATGACGATTGACTCTGACTTACCTTCCCACGTCTTTGACTTCTCAGTACTCCATCCACTCCTATTTTGCTACTTCAGCTCGTCGACGTTGCGGCTCTTCCTCGACGGCATTGCGGACTTCTCATTGCGGATGTCATCGGCAGCTTCACGGACTTCGTCACGATCATCTCTGCCTACTTCATATGTCATCACTTTCTTACCACTTTACCCTGTACAGTACCCTTGTTGTGTCGCATGATGGTCTCCCTTTAGCCGGGTTCCTATGAGTTGGGCTCTCCTCTGGTGTACGCATAGGCACGGGGACCATAGCGTTGCCCTGGCTTCCCACCTTACGGATCTAGCTCCGACTTCCCTCACTTTAGGAGTCACTTGCATAATTTCCTTACGCATCACTCTTTCTACCCTCTGTCGGCCCTCACGCCCTAGTTAGGTAGCCCCGCATGCTTCATCTAGGTGCGCCCAGTATACCAGGCTCCCTTGTTCCCTTGCATGGTCGACCCTCCATAGCGGTCACCCCTTTAGTCGAGCACTACCCGCCCTGATGGTCTATCTGTTAGGGTCATTGGTTCTGTTCGCTCCCAGTTCCCTACCCTCATTGAGCCTGATGACATGTGTCTCACTGTTATCTATGTGTGGATGCCCGTAGGAGTTTTCGACCCCTAGGCTGCATTCGCCACCCTCAGAGACCATCCCACCTTTTGGTTTGCGACACACCTCTCATGTGACATATGGTTGACTTGTTGTTGCTTTGTTGCTCTCAGACTGAGGCTACTGCCTCTGACATTTCTAGGATTTAGTTGTTCTGGTTTTGCTGTTCTTAGGACTTATACACTAGTCAGTTGTTCCCAGACGGAGGCTACTGCCTCCAACATTCTAGGATCTAGTTGTCACTACTTTCTGCTTTCCTAGGACATGTATGCTAATTAGTTGCTTTTGCTTTCCTAGGATATGTATGCTAGTTAATTGCTTTTGCTTTCACTGAAGATGTTAGCTGTGACATTGCTGTTTTGTGGCATTTTCTACCCTAGGTTGCATCGCATGGACTCAGCATGGAGCTTGGTCCGCATCCTAGACTACTCAGGTTTTCTTTTCTTTGGTAGAGTTCCGCTTCTTGGCGGAAGCGTGTTTGCATCTTGACGATCTATCACAGGCCGAGGATCGTGTAGCGGACCTCTGGTTGGCCTGTGAGACCATCCCCTTGGCTTGTTCTCGCAGACCTGTGTTCTATTCGGGGGCAGTCCAGTCCAGGCCAGGCCGGTACCTCTGCCGGTACCAGCCAGTCCAGTTCAGTCCCGTCAGTCCGCTGGGGTATACCCCAGCAGTTGTCTGTTTTCGTGATGATTCTTCACTTGCACATTTTGGAGTACGTGCGTTGGAGTCTTGCGTGGGGAGCTGCGTTGGGCCATCTAGCTCCCCCCTTCTTCCTCCATCTCCATCTCTATCACCAGCGGAGCACCACACCTGGTGGGTCCGCTGCAAATAGCTACACAATCGTGGACTTCTATTCACCTTGAAAAGAGAGAGAGAGAGAGAGAGAGAGAGAGAGAGAGAAAGAGAGAGAGAGAGAGAGAGAGAGAGAGAGAGAGAGAGAGAGAGAGAGAGAGAGAG